GTTGCTCAAGGTCGGCTTGGCTGGAGCCCAGGGGAAGAGGAGTCCCAGGGGGGGCGTCGTATCTGACCCGGGGGGGGGGTCGACACCCCCCCCCCCTCCCGGCGGGGGAGGGATCAAAGGGAAGGGGCTTCCCTTCGACTCAATTACGAGGTTGCTCGAGGTTGCTCAAGGTCGGCTTGGCTGGAGCCCAGGGGAAGAGGAGTCCCAGGGGGGGGCGTCGTATCTGACCCGGGGGGGGGGTCGACACCCCCCCCCCCTCCCGGCGGGGGAGGGATCAAAGGGAAGGGGCTTCCCTTCGACTCAATTACGAGGTTGCTCAAGGTCGGCTTGGCTGGAGCCCAGGGGAAGAGGAGTCCCAGGGGGGGGCGGCGTATCTGACCCGGGGGGGGGTCGACACCCCCCCCCCCCTCCCGGCGGGGGAGGGATCAAAAGGAAAGGGCTTCCCTTCGACTCAATTACGAGGTTGCTCAAGGTCGGCTTGGCTGGAGCCCAGGGGAAGAGGAGCCCCAGGGGGGGGCGTCGTATCTGACCCGGGGGGGGGGTCGACACCCCCCCCCCCTCCCGGCGGGGGAGGGATCAAAGGGAAGGGGCTTCCCTTCGACTCAATTACGAGGTTGCTCAAGGTCGGCTTGGCTGGAGCCCAGGGGTTGCTCAAGGTCGGCTTGGCTGGAGCCCAGGGGAAGAGGGTTGAGTCCCGGGGGGGAGGTTGCTCAAGGTCGGCTTGGCTGGAGCCCAGGGGAAGACGGAGTCCCAGGGGGGGCGTCGTATCTGAACGGGGGGGGGTCGACCCCCCCCCCCCTCCCGGCGGGGGGGATCAAAGGGAAGGGGCTTCCCTTCGACTCAATTACGAGGTTGCTCAAGGTCGGCTTGGCTGGAGCCCAGGGGAAGAGGAGTCCCAGGGGGGGCGTCGTATCTGACCGGGGGGGGTCGACACCCCCCCCCCCCTCCCGGCGGGGGAGGGATCAAAGGGAAGGGGCTTCCCTTCGATCAATTACGAGGTTGCTCAAGGTCGGCTTGGCTGGAGCCCAGGGGAAGAGGAGTCCCAGGGGGGGGCGTCGTATCTGACCCGGGGGGGGGGTCGACACCCCCCCCCCCTCCCGGCGGGGGAGGGATCCAAGGGAAGGGGCTTCCCTTCGACTCAATTACGAGGTTGCTCAAGGTCGGCTTGGCTGGAGCCCAGGGGAAGAGGTCTCCCAGGGAAAGGGAAGGACAGAGACGACGAGTACAAAGAATGACGGAGATGACGGCTCGAACGGAAAAGCCCCTCACACACGCCGACAGGGTCGGCGGATTTCAGTCTCGCTATCAATCGGTCTCGTCGTCGGCCTCACAATCGGTCCCACTTTTCCGCAATTAGTGTTTGCACTGAAGGGTTCCTACCGGAGGTTGACAGATTTGGCGAAAGTTCCCGGCCGATTTCTGTAGGCTGCCGGGTTTCCGGGTTCCCGGTTCTGGATTCCCCGATTCCCGGTTCATGGTTCAGGGCCGATTTCGGTGGGCGGCAGGGTTCCCAGGGTTCCAGTTTTTGGGTCTTGGGTTCCCAGGTTGCCGGTCGATGTCATTATCGATTTCACCATCGATCTCACCATCCATCTCACTCAATCGATTTTATTTTCGATCTAACTACCGATGTCATTGTCGGTCTTACTATCGATCTCAATGTCGATCACTCTATTGATACCACTATCGATCTCATCATCGATTTCACGATCAATCTCACGAACGATCTCACGATCGTTCTCACGATTCCTCTCACCATCGGTCTCACTATGGATGTCATCATCGATGCCACTATCGATATCAAGCCACTCAATCGATCTCACGATCGATTTCACTTTTGCTCCCACTCAATCAATACCACTACCGATATCACTGTCGATCTTCGTATCGATCTCACCATCCATGTCATCATCGATCTCATTCAATCGACTTCACTACTAGTCCCACTATCGATTTCACTATCGATCTCACCTTCGATCTCACTCGATGGAGCTCAGCATCGATCTCACCATCGATGTTACTATCGCTCGCACGATATAGCATATCATGTAGCCTGGCACGGGACACCCTCGCGCCGTGGGACACAACGGGACACCATGGGGACACTAAGGGACACCATTGGGACACCATCGGGACACCATCGGGACACCATCGGAACACCATCGAGACACCGTGGGGACACCATCGGGACACCATCGGGATACCACAGGGCCACTGCTGGCCAACCTGTGGGACAGCAGCGTTTGGTTCGGCTCCGCCCTGGCAGCGGCGGGTTCATTCCTCTCGCCCACCCATGCAGTTTCGCCTTGCCAGCACGCACGACACGAACCTGAATCCGAAACCGATTTCTCGGTGGGGGGGTGTCTCTGTTTCACTACGATGTCCCAACTTATGGCAAGAGAGAGAGAGAGAGAGAACCAGACAACAATGAACAATACATAATTAGAGAGGTGGATCATATGTATATCTGGGAATACATAAAATACATAGTCAACTTATGTGTATATGTATGTATGCATGTATGCATGCATGCGCGCATGTACATTTGTAATGCATGTATCTACGTCCATATGTATGTATGCATGTATGCATGCATGCACGCATGTATGTATGTATGTATGTGTGTATGTACGTATGTGTGTACGTGTGTGTATGTGTGTGGATGTGTGTATGTGTGTAAGGGTATATGCATTCATGCATGCATGTACGTATGTTTGTATGCATGCATGTTGGTAGGTATGTGAAGGTGCACGAGTGCATGTATGTCTGCATGTATGTATGCATATATGTATGCATGCATGCATGCATGTATGCATTCGTGCATGTCTATATGCATGCATGTGTGTATGTCTACATGTATATGTGTGTGTGTACATGCATGTATGTTTGCATTTGTGCAAGTATAAATGTTTGCATCCATGCATGCGTGTATGCATGTATGCATGTGTGCATGGCTGCACGTATGCATGCATGTACGCATACATTTATGCATGTGTGCATGTATGTTGAATGTATAAATGTATGCATGTATGACTGTAGGAATGTATGCATGTATGAATGTATGTAGGTCGGTATGTAGATCTCCAGGCATGTAGGTCTACATGTAGGTATGTAGTCATGTATCTATGTACGTATATATGCATATATGTATGCTTGTATGTATGTATATACGTTTGTGTATATATATAGGCATGCATATATGTATGTATGTTTGTTTGTTTGTATGTATATTTATATATACACATGTGTGCACATGGAGGTGTATCTATCTAAACCCATCTGTATATATGCATACACAGAGAGAATGAGAGATAGAGAGAGATAGAGATATAGAGAGAGAGAGAGAGGATACATAGAGAGATAGAGAGAGAGAGAGAGAGAGAGAGAGAGAGAGAGAGAGAAATAATGAGAAACAGAGAGACAGAGAGAGAGAGAGAGAGAGACAGAGAAAGAGAGAGAGAGAGAGAGAGAGAGACAGAGAAAGAGAGAGAGAGAGAGAGAGAGCGAGAGAGAGAGAGCGAGAGAGAGAGAGAGAGAGAGGAGAGAGAGAGAGAGAGACACAAAACATAGAGAGAAATCAACATATGACAACCAGACTGGACTAGAACGTCTATTCGAATTCGGTTAGGGCGGGAGGAAGGCAAATTGAGGTACCTGTGAAAAGTTTGACGTCCACTGCTTTGGTTTTCTCTGGTGTAATCGATTTATCGATCTCAGTATCGATCCGACTTACTATCCATCGATCTCAGTGTCCATCTATCTATCGATCTCACGGGTCAAGCATCCGGACAACCATCGGTGCTCCAATGGGACACCATCCGAGCACCATTTGGACACAATCGGGAAAACAGAGGGGCACCATCGAGACACCATCGGGACACCATTCGGACACCATTTGGAAACCATGCAGACACCATCGGGACACCATCGGGACGCCATCTGGACACCATCGGGGTACCACGTGGATACCATCGGGAGATCATTAGGACACCATCGAGATACCATCGGGACACCATTCGGACACAATTTTGACACTATGGGACACCATCGGGACACCATCGGGGCACTATCGGGACACCATCGAGGCACCATCGGGACACAATGCGGACACCATGTGGACACCATATCGGGACACCATCGGGACACCATCGGGACATCATCGGGACACCAACGGGGCACCATCGGGTCACCCACCGCCGGGCAACGGGGCGGGGGCCGAACCGTTCGACACGGTTTCGCCTCGGCCACGGTGGTATCTTTCCACTCGCCCGCACGCACGACACGAGCAGGAACCTGGAGCCGATTTCGGGGTAAGGGGGTCTCCGTTTCACTTCGGTGTCGCACCAAACCTCCGATGTTCTGTTGAGAATTCGGATTCACGGAGGTGAAGCAAAGTTAGAATCCCCGCTGGCCCCCCTCCTGTGCCTCCTCGCGCGCTCGCCGCCTACCTGGCCTGTTTGGGGCTCAAGGGTGGGACCGCTTGTCCCGCCCGCCCACTCCTATTCTTTGCCTGTCCGTGTTTTCGGCGGCGCCGCTGCGCTCGCCGCTGGGGGCCGGGAGCGGCCTCGTAGCTGTGGTACCTGGCCAATGAAAGAAGAGGAGGGAAGGGAGCGGGAGCTAACAGCGGCAAGTCCTGTGACAGCCACATGAGATTTGCCCCAGAACGCTCCTCCGTGTCCTCCTCTCCTCGATCGCACTCGTGCGTGCACCTCTCCCTCTTTCTCGGTCTCTCGGATCTGCTCTCCATCTCGCGCGCTCTCCTTCTTCCCCTCTCTCTCTCGATACCCATGTGTGTCATGCTTTCACTGTTTTCATTTTTTGATACATATATATATATATATCCTTCCCGCTTTCGTTCGTGCTTGGTTCCTCTCTCTCTCTATCTCTCCCCCCTCGTGATAGCATGCATTGGGATTCTCAGCCTGAGACAAAAGGACCTAAGCGGCCGAGACCCGCGCCGACTCTGCTCGTGCACTTTCCGCGGGTGCCGTCGCGGCCAGGCGGGCGCTGGCGACATCGAGACCGCGCTGCGCACCGCCTGCAAGCGAGGGCAGCTGAACTGCGTCGACTCGCTCCTGAAGATGACGCAGGACTGGGAGAGGAGGAAGAGGAGGAAGGGGAGGTGGAGGAGGAGGAGGAGGAGGACGAGGAAGAGGAGGAAGAGGTGGAGGAGGGCGAGGACGAGGACGAGAAGGAGGGAGAGGAACACGAGGGCTGCTGCTGCGGAGGAGAAGGGGGGCTGGGCGGCTGTCGGAGCATGAGGTCGGCGGGCTTGCTGCCGTCGGGCTTGCTCCGGTGGAGGGCCTCTCCGAGGGGGGCTCGTCTGTCGCTGGTGCTGCGCACGAGGAGGGGGTAGAGGGAGGCTGCTGCTGAGCAGGAGGGGGTGCGGCTGCTGCGGAGCGGGAGGGTTGACGATGGTGATGAGGATGTCGAGTGGTGGTTTTGATGGTAGTGATGATGAGGGTGATGATGGGGGCGATGATGATGTTGATGCTGATGCTGCTGATGATGCTGCTGATGATGATGCTGATGATGATAATGAGGATGGGGGTGAGGGTGAGGATGATGATGATGATGCTGAAGATGGCGATGGTCACGATGATGATGCTGATGATGATGCTGAAGCTGATGATGATGCTGTTTATGACAATTCTGATGATGATGATGATGATGATGGTGATGATGATGATGATGATGATGATGATGATGATGATGATGATGAGGGGTGATGCTGCTGATGATGATATGTGGCTGATGATGATGGCGATGTTGTTGATGATGCTGCTGCTGCTGCTGCTGATGATGATGATGATGATGATGGTGACACTGCTGGTCATTATGACGATGGTAGTCATGATCATGCTGCTTGTGATGATGCCGCATCAAGTGATTTGTATGATGATTTTGGGGAGGAGAAGACTGCTGCTGTGTATGATGATGAGGATTATGAGGATGATGACGGTGATGGTGATGATGATGCTGATGATGATGATGATGATGATGATGATGATGATGATGATGATGATGCTGTTGCTGATGATGATGCTGATGATGGTGATGATCATGATGCTGCTTATTTTTATTATTATCATACTCATGCTGCTGCTGACGATGATGATGCTGATTCTGATGATGATGTTGATTATGCTAATGCACTACGTCATGCGGACGGTAATGATATGAGGATGCTGCGATGATGGTATGATGGTGGTGAAGATAATGATGAGTATGATGATGATGCTGCTGCTGGTGGCGATACTGCTGCTGATTCTGATGATGGTGGTGGTGGTTGTGATGATGACTGCGATGGCCAAAGTTCTGAGGTCGATGACAAGATTGTGTTGGTATTAGTTATGCATATGATGGTGATGGTGACGGTGTTGCTGATTGGGTTGATGATGTCGATGGTGATGAGTATATTGTTGATGATGCTGATGCTGATGATGATGACGATGATGATGACGATGATGACGATGACGATGACGATGGTGACCGATGCTGATGAGGATGATTATGCTGGTGATGCTGGTGATGATGGTGGTGATGATGAGGAGGAGGAGTAGTTCCTCCCCCCTGCTGCTGCTGCTGCTGCTGCTGCTGCTCCTCTACTTTCCCCTGCTGCTGCGGCTCTCCCCATTCTCCTCCTCCTCCTCCTCCCCCTCCTCCTCCTCCTTCTCCTCCTCCTCCCCTCCTCCTTCTCCTCCTCAGCTTGCAGCGCAATATGGACCAATCCGAGGGCGCTAACGTGCGGCTGCAGGATTACCCCCCTTTGCCCCCCATGTGCTGTGCTACAATGGAGTTCTTGTTTCATGGATTGAGGGAGTGCGACTGCGTTGATGAGTTGATACCGCATTGTCACGTGGAGTGGGCCCTCGAAGCCAGGGAGTCTGGATCTCAGGACTTGGTCAGTTTCCTCGTTGGAGCGTTTCCTCGCTCAGCTGACGACGTTACGCCCGCCATGCCGCGGAGTGGTATGGATGGTGTCATTCAGATCTCCGAGGAAGGGTTCTCGGACTCGGGCCTGGAGTTTCTTGGGCTATGAAGCTCGCTGGTAACATATCCCTGGGTGATTCCTGTTTCAATCCAAGGTTCGGGATTTTTCCAGAGCGGGCTGGGGCTTTGTGGATGTTTTTCCCTGAGCGGCCACATGCTCAGCCTTGCCTCGGGCCCCGTTTGGGCCCACCAGCCCCCGACTTCGCAGTGCGCGGAGTTTTTCGGTCGCAGGGGTCAACTTTGACGGGCCTGTTAATTACGTGTTTCTCAAACTGCGCCTCGGCTGTCTCGGGGTGTGCCTGGTGGCCGATGCACCGCCTGTCGGGGCACAGGCCCTGCGCAGGCCCGTTCTCGGAAGCTCTTGCAGGTCGCGGCTCACACATCTGAGGACGAGGAAGGTGTCGCGGCCTGGAGGTCTTCCGTAGGGCTGGCAGTCGTTTGGCTGGTGATGTGTGGCCAAAGAGGGGTGCGACATTGCACCCGATGGCTGGCCCAGAGACGCTTTGCAAGACCGACCGCCGCGTCCGAGCTGCTCAATATGTAGTGCTGCTGGCCGCGAGGCCTCTGCATCTGTGTATGCTGATGATGATGACGATGATGATGACGATGATGATGATGACGATGACGATGACGATGACGATGATGATGAGGATGAGGATGAGGATGAGGATGAGGATGATGCTGAGGATGATGATGATGATGATGATGATGATGATGATGCTGATGATGATGATGATGATGATGATGATGATGATGCTGGTGCTGATGCTGATGATGATGCTGATGATGATGATGAGGAGGAGGAGGATGAGGAATATGATGTTGTTGTTGCTGTTCCCCATATCCTTGTTATTACTTGGACGCCTCCTACTCCTTCTTCCTCTTCTTCTTCTCCTCCCCTCTCCTCCTCATACCCAGACTTACTCATACACAGACTGACTCACACTCAGACTTACTCATACCCAGACTTACTCACACACATAATTATTCATACTCAGACCTACTCATACTCAGGCCTACTCATACTGAGACTCACTCATGCTGAGACTCACTCATACCCAGACTTACTCATACTCAGGCCTTCTCATTGTCTGACTTATTCTACACACAGCAGATTGTGAGGATGTCTCAGGCTGGGCGCTGGTTTGAGCACCCCTAAGGGGAGCCGCCGAGGGGTATGACACGGTCCCGTTCGCGGCCGTTTTGTGGGGATGTCTCAAGCGGTTTGCCTGTTTTCTGTCCCAACATCCTTCGCTTTCGGAGCAGATTTGGAGGATGTCTCAGGCTGGGCGCTCATTTTCACGCCCCTAAGGGGAGCCGCCGAGGGGTATGACACGGTCCCGTTCGCGGCCGTTTTGTGGGGATGTCTCAAGCGGTTTGCTTGTTTTCTGTGCCAACATCCTTCGCTTTCGGAGCAGATTTGGAGGATGTCTCGAGCGAGGCGCTCATTTTCACGCCCCTAAGGGGAGCCGCCGAGGGGCATGACACGGTCCCGTTCGCAGCCGTTTTGCAGGGATGTCTCAAGCGGTTTGCTTGTTTTCTGTCCCAGCATCCTTCGTTTTCGGAGCAGATTTGGAGGATGTTTCGAGCGAGGCGCTCATTTTCACGCCCCTAAGGGGGGCCGCCGAGGGGTATGACACGGTCCCGTTCGCGGCCGTTTTGTGGGGATGTCTCAAGCGGTTTGGTTGTTTTCTGTCCCAGCATGCTTCTTTCCGGAGCAGATTTGGAGGATGTCTCGAGCGAGGCGCTCATTTTCACCCCCCAGGTGGGCCAGATTTTGAGGATGTCTCGTTCGGTTTGCTTGTTTTGGTGGCCAGACTCGTGGGCACAGGTTCTCTTCAGGATGCCACAGGATGCTCCAACATGCTCCAGGAGGCCCCTGGGGACCACATGAGGTCCCAGGAGGCATCAGGAGGCCACAGAAAGACTCAAGGGGCCACAAGATGTCCCAAGAGGCTCCAGGAGGCCCCAGGAAGCTCCAGGAGGCCTCAGGATGCCACAGGAGGCCCCAGGAGGCCACAGGAAGCGCCAGGAGACTTCGGAAGGCAACAGGAGGCCCCGAGAGGCCCCAGGAGCAGGAGGCCTCAGAAGGCAACAGGAGTGGCTTCAATCCCATGTGTTTTACGTATGCTCCTATAGATTGGGCCTCACCTGGAGCACGAATCCTTGACGTTATACGTGTGTTTCTATAGATTGTCCTTCTCCTGTGAACTCAATCCTAAATGTTTTACTTATGTTCCTATATGTTGGGCCTCTCCTGGGGCACGAGTCCTTGGTGCTTTACGTGTGTTCCCATAGATTGCCCTTCTCCTGTGGCTCCAATCCGCAAAGTTCTATGTACGTCGGTTGCTATAGATTGGGCCTCTCCTGGGGCACGAAGCCTCCCTGGGAGGTCCCAGAAGGCCCTAGGAGGCCTCAAGAGGCTCCTGGAGGCCCCAGGAAGCCCCAGTAGGTTTCAGGAGGCCCCAGGAGGCCCCAGGCTCATGCGCAGAGACGCGCTCGTACCACTGAGGCTCATTCACATTCCAATTCATTCGCAGTTAGATTCATGACCAGGCCGCCACAGCTGAAGCCCGATTATATTCGAAAATTCTTGCGCCTAGACGTTCACGGCGGACAGGTCCATGCGAATAGATGCACATATGGGGAGCTCCACGCAGTGAATCATTGTTGTGGCCGCGACTCGACTCGGCCAGTTCTGTTCACGTGAAGGCACCGGCCAAAACAGCATCCAGTTCCCCGTGCCGCGCCTGGGTTCGGCAAGGATCATCTTGGCAGGGCACGCCTCGCCTGCGCGGCACTCGTGCTGATGTGTTGCCGCCTCCGAGGAGGAGGAGCAGGAGGAGGAGGAGGAGAAGGAGGAGGAGGAGGAGGAGGAGCAGGGGGGGGGAGGAGGAGGAGGAGGAGGAGGAGGAGGATTCTAGGTATTCGGCCCGATCCCGCTCCAGGTAATTGTCGTGGGCTTGCCCGGCTGTCTCCTGCCTCCTGCCCTGCTGGGTTCCATGGGCCATAGGTGTGCTGTTCGGGCGGGTCCTCTCTGTGCATCCGTCCTCGCTGCTTCTTCTTCAGCACGGGCAGCGCCCACCTATCGACGCAA